TTAATTCGCTTCATACATCCTATATTGGATTGTATGTCAAACAATAAGTCCAAAAGATTCCACAAGTATTAATCATGTATTTGTTCATATAAATTCATATTGATTGTGCAACATATTTATGAAGATGTTGTAACAATATTGAGGAGTTTATTAGAACAAAACATATAACTTGTGGTGCACTGTTAAGTAATAAATTCTTCAGCATTTAATAGTCTTTAGTTTCTTCAAAATTGATCCTGGGCCATTTTAGTTTGTAAGGCTCAAGACAATTTCGAGAAACATAAAAGTAATACTCATAATGTTCAGTTCATTTTGAGGTGGACCTTAAAGATTATTTGGGAAGTTATGGTGTATGTTTAAGATTCCAAATTTATGTACTTAGAGTTTTGGTTTATTGCCTAAGTTATTGGAATGCTTCTGTGACTTAACTATCTTTTTGCTATGTTGATGAGTGGGAGTGACAAATGTGTCAACTCCAAGCTCTTAGCCGTTAGAGGTAGTACTTATGTTAACTTATAAAGAAGTTATGGAATATATAGTTAGCATTATGCTAATTAAGAGATCTCTACTTAAGGCATGCTTTTAAAGATATTAGAGATCATACAGTGTACTCTTTTGTACAATTTGGATGGTTTTCTCTCTTAAGTTGCGCATATATATTTTATTTTGAGAAACATCCCTTAAGGTACCAAGAATAAACATTGGGTTTGTTCATAAAGGATTCAAGTTGGGGAATCAAATATGCATGTGATCATAGGAGATATTACTCACTTATTCAGTAGAGGACATATTATTATGATTCGTGTGTTTTGTTCTTTAATGCGAATTGTGCTAGTACTTGCACCAAGTGGGAGACTGTAAGACTTTCCCGTATAATATATATTATATATTATGGGTCTTACTTATGTGGTGCAAGTGGACTAGGCCCATTAAGTAATTGGTTGGGTTGGACCTTTAGGTTTATGTCTTATATCCACCAATGTGCCTATATAAAGCTTGTATTGATGGGATACAAGATACATGAATATTATATGGTACTCATACTACTCAGAAAATATCAGTACACCATCTAGGGTTCTGAGTCAAGTATGAGACAAAACGGCTAACCATATTCTGCAGATCTACCGTTCAAGAGGCAATACAAGGATATCAACTATGGCTGGAGATCTACAGTGCTTCCGCTTCCGCTACTACGAGTTAAGTTTCTCGTAGATTATACTTTGTATATTTAGATCTCACAAAATGAAGTCTTGGACACTGCCAACACCATCCGGGCAGATGAAAATGAAGAAATCCAAGAAGAAGAAGCAGGGGATGATGCAGGGGATGACCAGGGAGATGACACTGTGGATGACCTTGTGGCAGATTTGGATTCTCACTTTGTGGCAGATTTGAACACTGATTTGGATATGGTGGCTGATGAACCAGTGTTACCAGCTGACTTAGGGGCAGATCCAGAGGCCAAGGAAGGAGAACAACAAGAAGATGTTGAGATGGATGAACAAGCAAATGAGGATGAAGTTCAAAAGAATGATGATGAACATGTTGGTGTTGATATTCTGGATGATCATTCGAATGAAGATGAAAGGATCAACAAAAATGATGAAGCTAAAAGTTCTAATGTTGAAGTGATCAAGGCCTTGAAGGAGCTAAAAGAGGCCATTGGAGCACGTGATGAAAATTCTAACACAACAATTGTTGAATTTTTGAATTCATTTGTTGACAGGTTAACGGTTGCCCTTGAAGAGGAAAGAAGTGCTCAAGCCAATCTTGAGAAGTCTCACCATTCCGACAACATGATGCACAAGATTAGGCATGAAAAGCTGCTTTTCAAAGTGTGCGTGGAAGTTGAGGATCTCCTAAGATCAATTGAAAAGATTGACACACATGGAGATGATATTCGAATGATCAAGAAAGAGCTATCCATAATTAAGGATTTTCTCCAAGGAATGGCTAACACGACTTTGCGTACCGACTCGGTGGTCAAGGAAATTGTGACATTATCCAAGAAGGGCACGGACATGGTTAAGTCCATTTTTGATGACACCAAAAAGGGGGAAAGAGAACAACCCTCTCATTTTGGTGGTGGATTTGGACATGGTGGACAAGGTTCAGGCAGTTCGGGCCGTGTATACCTTCAGGGGGAAGGAAGCTCACCGAATGAAGATGTCATTGCATCATTTGCCGCACTCGTACCGAATGTGGACGAACTAAAGGAAGGAAGAAGCATTTTCGAATGTGCCAAGTGGTACACTAGAAATGTTTTTCCAACAACCAAGGGAGATGTACGTGGAGCTTTTTCATGCTATATCAAAGGACAAGTGAATCAATTATATTATCATGCTAATTGCAAAGGTAACTTCATTAAGCTAAGAGCTAGAGTCAATAGCATGATTGAACCATGAAAATGTTTGATATTTAAATATATTTTGCTAAGTATGTAATATGGCTTGTTGAACTTTGATGCAATTAATCTATATTTTATCTAGTCATATTTTATTTAGCTTTATGCTTTTTAATTTTTAGACACAGTTTAGTATTGTAAATACAATTTGAGGGAAGAAAACAAAGTGACAAAAAGAAATTAAAATCAAACCTAAAAAATTGCAACCTCTTTTACATGTCTAAAAGTAAAAAGTCCTTAGGTCAAAATAAAATAAAAGAAAGAAAAATAAAAGATTATTCTTTTGACTGGACTAAGCCAAAATGATCGGGTATAGGTTTTGACATCATCAAAAAGGGGGAATTTGTTAGGAATAAATTGTAATAGTTTTGATGAGCCAAATTTGTATTTTTAGAACCCCCTATTTTATTTTGAGTCTAGTTGTCTATTAGCCTAAGTCCCAAGTCAAGCCATAAAAGTCTACGAATTCTTAGCAAAATATACTTATCCAGAATGTTACTATTTGAGATTTATTTACCTTAGAAAACAACAAAGGATGAAGTGGTGAAGTGGATAAGGAACAAGGTGATTAAAGTCAGAGGTCATGGGTTTGACACTTAATCTTTACATTTTTATGTAAGAGATAAAGTAGGGGACGACGAAGGGGCTGATGGGGACGACCAAGGGGCAGACTCGGATTAATCTACGAATTAATGTAAAATGCTACTAAAGGCATTCTGGGAATAAAGATTAAATCCAGAAATATTAACTAATGAGTTAATATGGTGTAGTAGTACAAGCTTGGAAGATAGATCTAATTGGGCTTGTGTTCAAATCTCATTAGAAGCATATTATTTAAAGATGACACTTGTTGGGTGCATGCTACAATGTGGACACATGTCATGCTAAGTTGACTACAAGTTTGGAAGCTTGTGGACATGATAAGGAAGATGCACGTGAATTCTTCTACATATCTTCTTTCTCATTTAAATATCTTGCTATGAAATCTCAAATAATTTCAGAAGAAGAAATGGACGAAAGAGGGTTGAATGTAGCTTTGTGCAAGACACTACCCTGTTGAGTGTAGCTTTGTGCGAGACACTCGTGGTTGCTGAGTGTAGCTGTGTGCGAGACGCTCGGTGGTGCTAAGTGTAGCTGGGTGCAAGACACTTAGTTGGTGTAGGAGTATAGCTTTGTGCAAGATACTCGGGAGTATAGCTTTGTGCAAGATACTCGGGAGTATAGTTTTGTGCGAGATACTCGGGATTGAGTGTAGCTGTGTGCAAAACACTCGGTAAGTGCCTGTGTGCACTTGATTCACTATTTGTATCTGGGTGAACGAGATAGTGAATTTCCTCCTTGGAGTGAAAGGAGAAGAGTGGACTAGGAGGATTACACCACCTCTGAACCACTATAAATTGCCTCTCTCTCATTTACTTACTGCTTTATTTATTATTGCATGCATACTAACCCATTTACTATTCGTCTTATTCATTTATCTTATTGATTGGGTTATGTGACTTTACAAGTGCATGCAGACACAATTCCATTTGGATTCATTCATTGATTCGCACGTGACATTGCATACATATTGAGTGAACCATCTCTTAAATATTTTGTTGTCTTGCATGTTGAATATTTGACTGACCCATCTTATATTGTGCAAAATTATTCATCTGGGTTTAGTAGTTTTCACGTATGCATGTGAGCATAAATTTGCATACTGATTATTTGAGCCATACCAAGCATATCCATCATATTGCATGTGATATATCTCTTTGATTTTACGTAACACTTGGTTGTTTTAATTATTCCGCTGCGCATCTAAGTTTCATATCTTGTTACTTAGAGTTGAAATTACCAAACTGTTATTAATTGTGAAAAAGTTTAAAAAGTCTATTCACCCCCCCCCCCCCTCTAGACTTTTTACCACCCTATCGGGACCAACATTATGTCATATTGTGGGAGACGCTTTGGCTGAGAGAAACGCAACTGGGGATGACGTGGTGAGAGAGTACATCCCGGCGTGACTTGGACCTCTAAGAAGAATCTCTCGGGTGATACGATCCTTCACAAGAAAATGGGTAGGGTGAAATTCAAAATAAACATCATTGTCACGGGTGAATTTATGGACAGACAGTAGGGAGGCATGCAATTTGGGAACATGCAAGACACTATTTAGGGACAGTGACCGAGACTTGGAAAAGAAATTTAAAGAACCTGTGTTATGAATGGGGAGTGCTGAACCATCACCCACACGCAACGCCTCGTCCCCGGTGTATTGCTCAACATTACTTAACGTTGTTGCATTTGGAGTTGCATGAGCATTCGCACCCGTGTCCGGGAACCAGACGTTGGAAAACGGGGCAGTATTGTAGTCGTCCTGCGGTTGATGCGAGACCATGTGGGGCTGGGGCATTGGGACTGCAGGCTGTCCGGCGACCATCCTTTGACCGGAAACATCAACAAAGCGCCGGTAACACGTTAGAGCAGTGTGTCCAGGGCCGTCGCAAATTTCGCAACGAACCCCAGCGCGACCTCGTCCTCTTCCACCGTCGCCCCGGTGACCTCTGTTGTTGCGCCCACGACCTCGCCCAGCGTTTGAATACGGCTGGGACTACTGAGCCACCATGATCGTCGGTGTAGCGGGCGGTGGTGGCAACGTCTCATCTGGAAACGGATACTGATGAGTTGCTAAAAGATCGGCAACCTCTAGAATCGTAAGAGGGGAGCTTTTCGTCGTGAGGGATGCAACAAGGCCGCGGTATTCCGGCCGAAGTCCACGGAAAACATGCAGGTTCTGCTCATCCAGGCTGATAGGGCGTCCAGCTTGAGCAAGCTGCTCAACTAGAACCTGCGCCTTACCGAGATATACAGCCGGAGATGAGTCACCTTGCTGAAGACCTTGTAACTGAGACAGCAGGCTGAGCGACAGGGAGCGAGAAACAGAACCCGACGCCGTCTCCACGGCAACCCAGACAGCGCGAGACGTGGAGTGACCGATGGCTAGATAAAGTACCTCCTCCGTCATGGATGAAATGAGCATGCTGAGTATTGATTGATCCTGTTGGATCCATATGGCATGACTCAGATTCAGAACAGGCGTGGCAGTCGACGAAGCTGCGAGGAACACCGGTGGACACTGATGGGTGCCATCAACGTACCCATACAAGCTTTGGCTACGCAGGAAGGGAACGAGTTGGGCTTTCCAGAAAAGGAAATTCGAAGAAGACAACTTGAGGGTGACGTAGTGGTGCGCTTGTTGGAGCATGGAGGACGAACGTTGCTCGGAGACGGTGACAGCCGCTGCTGAGCCGTCTGTGGAAGTGTTCGCCGTAGCCGGGAGGGAGGTATTGTCATTTGTGGCCATAGGATCGGGAGTGACTAACTGATACCAGATGAAGTTTATAATATATTGATTATCCAAAAGCAAGGGAATACAACGCTATTTATACAGAAGAGGTTAACAAAGAAATAGATCACCACTCCTTATTAGTCACTAACTACACATAAAAGTCTAACCACAAACTAACTGCCTAATAAGGTTAATATTGCATTCGATCAATTTTAAACAAAAGACAAATTACGCAGTTCATTAAGGATTTGATATTCTTAATGTGTAATATAAGATCTCTTGAATCATATATCCGTAAAAGTTCCATTGAAAGTCTAATAGCTTTAACAAAAATTCAAAACTTTAATTTTACAACTTCTCAACAACCTCATTAAAAATTTATATTGTCCAAAACTCACTAGATTTCTCTCATTTTCTCCCTATAAGTACATAAAGTTAGTACAATTATTTCAATTAGAACAACCAAATAATGTTTTTAATTTACTTTTCCTTATTAATATGTTAAAAATCTTTTTAATAAAGGTAGCTGGAATAGCTCAGTTGGCTAGAGTATTTAGATGTTAACCACAAGGTCGGAGGTTCAAGCCCTCCTTCTAGCGATGAATTTGAAGAATTTAATAACTATGATTATATTTCGTATGGAAATGCAAATACATAAAAACTACTATAATGGGCTCAATTTTCAAAACGTGACAAAAAAACATGGCTTTCAAAGAGGAAAAAGGCAGGTAACCAGAATTAATTTAGGGTGACATTGATAATTGGCATATTTGTGAGGGAAATCAATTACAAATTTTCGTTCATTAATCAACACCGAACTTATCAATTACAAATTTTCGTTCATTAATCAACACCGAAGTCATATCAAATTTTTCTGGTTCATGTTTTTTGCAGAATTTATGCTAAGCAAATTATTTTTACTATTTTTTTTATCACATGTTCTTATATTATTATTATTATTATTATTATTATTATTATTATTATTATTATTATTATTATTGTTGTTGTTGTTGTTGTTGTTGTTGTTGTTGTTGTGTTGTTGTTGTTGTTGTTGTTGTTATTATTATTATTATTATTATTATTATTATTATTATTATTATATTATTATTATTATTATTATTATTATTATTATTATTATTATTATTATTATTATTATTATATTGTTATTATTATTATTATTATTATTATTATTATTATTATTATTATTATTATTATTATTATTATTATTATTATTATTTTAAAAGTTTTGTATTGGTAACTTGTTTTTGTTATCTAATTTTTTTTACCTGTGTTGTAATTGATAAATCTACTACACACACACACACACCCACCCACACACACACTCACACACACACACACATACACACACACATACACATACAAACACTAATAAAAGCCAATAAAGTTAAGCCTTAAAAGCAAACTAAAATACCTCAGTCAAATTGTTTGATTAAATGATTGAAGCAAATTTAGGGTCAGTTTTTTTTTTTTTTCTGTTTTTACGTTTAATTAATTTTCTTCTAATTATTTACAACAAAATTTAATATATAATTTATGCTTTTTGCATTATTCCGAACCAGCTAAATTCTAAAATACACAATACCACATCATCAAAACCCTAAACCCTAATCCCTAAATAACTAAATCGATCCCTGGCAAAAATAAAAATTAAAAAAATCAAATCCTAAAACCTTAAACCATTACCCCTAAGACTCAAACCCTTTTCTCAAAACCTAGGTCACTAAAGCCAAGACAAGCTCTAAACCTCTTATCCAAAGCCCGGGTGCACAACTTGTTGTTACAATTTACACAGTCAATAACCACTAAATGCACAATCAAAAAAGCAAAATGATTATTAATAGTTATACTATTTTTTCATTAAAAAAAAAAACCATTAACAGAATAGGTTAATATTGCATTCGATCAATTTTAAACAAAACTCAAATTAAGCAGTTCATTAGGGATTTGGTATTCTTAATGTGTAATCTAAGATCTCTTGAATCATATAATCGTAAAAGTTCCATGGAAAGTCTAATAGCTTTAACAAAAATTCAAAACTTTAATTTTTCAACTTCTCAACAACCACATTAAAAATTTATATTGTCCAAAACTCACTAGATTTCTCTCGTTTTCTCACTATAAGTACATAAAGTTAGTACATTTATTTCAATTAGAACAACCAAATAATGTTTTTAATTTTACTTTTCCATATTAATATGTTATAAATCTTTTTAATAAAGGTAGCTGGAATAGCTCAGTTGGCTAAAGTGTGTGGCTGTTAACCACAAGGTCGGAGGTTCAAGCCCTCCATCTAGCGACGAATTTAAAGAACTTAATAACTATGATTATATTCTGTATGGAAATGCACATACATAAAAACTACTATATTGGGCTCAATTTTCAAAACGTGACAAAAAAACATGGCTACCAGAATTAATTTAGTGTGACATTAATAATTGGCATAATTGTGAGGGGAATCAATTACAAATTTTCGTTCATTAATTAACACCGAACTTATCAATTACAAATTTTGGTTCATTAATCAACACCAAAGTCATATCAAATTTTCTGGTTCATGTTTTTTGCAGAATTTATGCTAAGCAAATTATTTTTACTATTTTTTTTTATCACATGTTCTTATATTATTATTATTATTATTATTATTATTATTATTATTATTATTATTATTTTTGTTGTTGTTGTTGTTGTTGTTGTTGTTATTATAATAATAGTAATAATTATTATTATTATTATTATTATTATTATTATTATTATTATTATTATTATTATTATTTTAAAAGTTTTGTATTGGTAACTTGTTTTTGTTATCTAATTTTTTTTACCTATGTTGTAATTGATAAATCTACTACACACACACACACATACAAACACTAATAAAAGCCAATAAAGTTAGGCCTTAAAAGCAAACTAAAAAACCTCAGTCAAATTGTTTGATTAAATGATTGAAGCAAATTTAGGTGCAGTTTTTTTTTTCTTTTGTTTCGTTTAATTAATTTTCTTCTAATTATTTACAACAAAATTCAATATATCAATTATGCTTTTTGCATTATTGCGAACCAGCTAAATTCTAAAATACACAAAATCCCATCATCAAAACCCTAAACCCTAATCCCTAAATAACTAAATCGATCCTCGGCAAAAATAAAAATTAAAAAAATCAAAACCTAAACCTTAAACCATTACCCCTAAGACTCAAACCATTTTCTCAAAACCTAGGTCACTAAAGCCTAGACAAGCTCTAAACCTCTTATCCAAAGCCCGGGTGCACAACGTGTTGTTACAATTTACACAATCAATAACCAGTAAATGCACAATCAATAAAGCAAAATAATTATTATAAGTTATACTATTTTTTTCATAAAAAAAAACCATTAACATAATAGGTTAATATTGCATTCGATCAATTTTAAACAAAAGACAAATTAAGCAGTTCATTACGGATTTGATATTCTCAATGTGTAATCTAAGATCTCTTGAATCAGATACCCGTAAAAGTTCCATTGAAAGTCTAATAGCTTTAACAAAAATTCAAAACTTTAATTTTTCAACTTCTCAACAACCTCATTAAAAATTTATATTTTCCAAAACTCACTAGATATCTCCCATTTTCTCACTATAAGTACATAAAGTTAGTACATTTATTTCAATTAGAACAACCAAATAATGTTTTTAATTTTACTTTTCCTTATTAATATGTTAAAAATCATTTTAATAAAGGTAGCTGGAATAGCTCAGTTGGCTAGAGCGTGTAGTTGTTAACCACACAAGGTCGGAGGTTCAAGACCTCCTTCTAGCGTAGAATTTGAAGAATTTAATAACTATGATTATATTCTGTAAGGAAATGCACATACATAAAAACTACTATAATGGCTCAATTTTCAAAACGTGACAAAAAAACATGGCTTTCTAAGAGGAAAAGGCAGGTAACCAGAATTAATTTAGGGTGACATTGAACTTATCAATTACAAATTTGGCCATATCAAATTTTTCTAGTTCATATTTTTTGCAGAATTTATGCTAAGCAAATTATTTTTACTATTTTGTTTTATCACATGTTCTTATATTATTATTATTATTATTATTATTATTTTTATTATTATTGTTGTTGTTGTTGTTGTTGTTGTTCTTGTTGTTGTTGTTGTTATTATTATTATTATTATTATTATTATTATTATTATTATTATTATTATTATTATTATTATTATGATTGTTGTTGTTGTTGTTGTTCGTGTTGTTGTTGTTATTATTATTATTATTATTATTATTATTATTATTATTATTATTACTATTATTATTATTATTATTAGTATTATATTATTATTATTATTATTATTATTATCATTATTATTATTATTATTATTGTTGTTGTTGTTGTTGTTGTTGTTGTTGTTGTTGTTATTATTATTATTATTATTATTATTATTATTATTGTTGTTGTTGTTGTTGTTGTTGTTATTGTTGTTGTTCTTGTTGTTGTTGTTGTTGTTATTATTATTATTATTATTATTATTATTATTATTATTATTATTTTAAAAGTTTTGTATTGGTAACTTGTTTTTGTTATCTAATTTTTTTTACCTACGTTGTAATTGATAAATCTACAACACATACACACACACACACACACACACACACACACACACACACACACACACAAACACTAATAAGAGCCAATAAAGTTAGGCCTTTAAAGCAAACTAAAAAACCCCAGACAAATTGTTTGATTAAATGATTGAAGCAAATTTAGGTTCGGTTTTTTTTTCTTTTGTTTCGTTTAATTAATTTTCTTCTAATTATTTTCAACAAAATTCAATATATCAATTATGCTTTTTGCATTATTGCGAACCAGCTAAATTCTAAAATACACAAAATCCCATCATCAAAACCCTAAACCCTAATCCCTAAATAACTAAATCGATCCCCGACAAAAATAAAAATTAAAAAAATCAAATCCTAAACCTTAAACCATTACCCCTAAGACTCAAACCCTTTTC